TTTCTTGGCTAAAAGCAGTAGTAGCAGCCATCTTGAGAGCTAAATTTTGTCTATAATTTTGTAGATATCAGTCATAAACTGCCAGAAACCACATAAGCAAGTTTTGATATTACTCAAAAAAAGTAAAACAAATTCCAAGTTGGGGGTTATGTATAATGGCTAATATAATAGCTTAAAAGTTTTTTGTGTGTTCTGGCAAAATCTCATGGCCTGCCACTTATAATTATAGGAAAGAAAATGCACCGCAAAGTTTATGTGACCCTGTAGTTACAGTCGTGTAAAGAGTTCCATATGGCAGCATCGCTGCACTATGAGCAGTACAGCATGGCGGCTCTTCTAGAGATATAAAACTATGATTTTTCGAATCCCTGCCTGTCAGGCCTCAACAGCCACCCCTTAACCCACGCTCTAATCCAAGGTGTAATACACCTCTGTACTATTGCCAGCGTGGCAGCCATATGGAGGTCATGAGGTCAGTATTTTGGGCTGTTGTAGGAATCTGAGGACACTTTTTCAGTTTTTCATTGTTTTTTGGTTTCGGTACTCTGCTTCTACTGTGGTCTAGCAACTGCCCTGTGAATTAATAATGCTTGTTTTGCCTGTAACCTGTTATTCTTTTCTAACAAAGAGCTCATATGTTGTATACTGTCTATTTTGTACTATATAATATAATCAGAATGTGAATTTTATATCAGTGCTGTGATATATTCAGCTACAGCAGTCAAGTTTCCAGGGGGATATTTTTACTTCAAATGCGAAATTTCTTCTCTGGTGTATTTGTTGTTTTTAAATCGTTATTGCGCTCCCACTTGTTGACACCATCATGTATAATGAATTATAATAACAATATTCAAATCATCATGTGTCAAGAATGGATAGTATTAAAAAATGCATAACTGGAACAGTATAAACAATATCTGTATACTCACATTATTGAACATTATAAGGATCATCCTGTTGGCCTGAATTCACAGATAGATCATTTTCATTTTCATAAATCAAGTTCTATCTAATGCAGGGGGGTGCAGGGCCAAAACTGGATAAGATTTAACCAAACCATGCCAACAATTTTGGACTCCTGCTCTGGAATGAATGTAGTCGAGTCTTCGACTCCATTTGAAAACAACAGCTCCAGAGCCGGTGATAAAGAGAAGCTGAATATTAGACATTAAGCCAACCTAAATATAGTTTAACCATTTTTGAGTAGATATTGAGTTGTAAGAGAGTGATATGAAAGTTGTATATTATACCAGGTAATATCAGGTTGCTTGAAAAATGTTTACAGCTAATTAATGTTTAGACACATCTTCAGAATTCATCATTTCACATGATGAAGGGGAAACTTGGAGTGGTATACTAAGCAAATCATAACCTGCTTTAGTCATAATTCTATGAACATGAACCATCATTAGACAGATTTAAAGTTTTCATTCCAGGGCAGCTGAATGTTGTCTTTCTTTCCACGAGGCTGAATTTGGCTTATTCGCAAGTTTCTTACTCGAATTTCCGTTCCACCTTAAATGATGTAGCATTTACCAAAAGAAGCCAACTTCAGCTACGTCATTTTCCCCATCCTTCTGTGAAAAATATCTTTCTCTATTGTTTTTGCTTTTGTTCCTTGTACTGTTTTAAATCCATGTTCGTGGCAGTGCTACTCATGAAGGAAAAGAAGAGCAGCGTTTTGTTGTCATAAAGCTGATAAAGAAATTCAAACGCAACACACGCCTGTCTCAGAACGGCACTTGAGGCAATTACAACGAAAAACCACGGAGTCGACTCCACACGTTTCGACTCTCAGAGTCACTGGCCAATTGTCGGCTCTGACTGCCGGCCGTGCTGGAGTCGAAGAATCGACTCGTTTGGAATCGATTCCCCACCATTAAACGAGACTGAGGGATGACCGTTAAAGTCGTATGAGTGAGCAGAACATGTCGATTAAAAATGTAGATAACGTTGCCGAGTGCTGTAATGTACGTGTAGTGGCTAACTACGTTCCAGTTGGATGCAAGTTTCTAGAAGAAATATGAAATATTAAAGGAGGTCTGTGAAATCATTAGGTTATGGCATGTTAGCCACGCTACGTGCTTAGCGTTAGCTAGGTTAGCTAACCGGATACTGAAATATCCGCGGATAACGGATTTTAGCTAGTTAGCTTTAGCTAGCTATAGTAGTGAGCAGGGATGTCACTAATTTATTCAGCTTATTGGAAAACAGTGTTTTAAGTGACATTAATCTTTCGTATATTTTCCGTTTCTGACGCATTTGAAGTTGGTTAAACTGAATTTGAAGCCTGTGTGAGTTTAGCTAACGTTAACTAGATATGCTTTTATTTTAATTAGAGAAACATTAGTGCAGTTCAACCGACTTTAAATGCGTGTGAAAATGTGGGAAAAGGCGACTGAATTCTAAACACTGTAATTTCAAAAGTTGGATAAATTATTCTTATTCGAAACATCGAAAACAGTTTAGTCACACTGGCTATGTTGAGTAGCGTTAGCTAGCTAGGTTAGCTAATCGCCAGTGCTTGGCTGTGCTAATGTTTAGTTTCTTAATTTTTCTTTTAGAAATGCGAAAGGGCTGAGAGGCTGGTGTGGGCTTCTAATTTGAATTTCCCGTTCCACCTTAATGATGTAGCGGTTACATTCTGCCGCCTGAGGGGCAGACCCCATTTAAGGTGGAACGGGAAATTCGAAGCCCGCTGCAGCTTCGTGAAACGGCTCGAACTGGTAGCGGTTACGTTACGCTAACTTTCCTTTCTGAGCTTTTAGTCTCCTATAAACGACGCTTTTTGGTTGCTTGCTGTATTGGGCACTATTTTGCGTTCACTGTGAATTATTATGTTATTTAAAGAAAACACTATTTTCTTTAGTTAACGTTACGCTTCTCGTTAAAGCACTTCAGTTTTCTCAGTGCCGTTTCGTCGAGGACCGTTACAGCTAGATGGGGTCTTAGCACAGCTGATGAGGTGAGGAACCTGCGCCAGTTAAATTGTAGATATATCGATATAACATGTTGATGTAAACAACGACTGTTCGTGCTGGTTCTGTATGCATATTATCATTCAGGAAGGGATACCGTTGCCAGTATACGAATCAGCCATCGAAAACCGGTTGAACCATAAGCCGAAACCATCAGAAACCAAAATAAACACTTAAAGGTTTGTTTCAGCAAGGATACATTGAAAAAAAAAAGTTAGATTAAGTGTAAAGCTTAATATTATGCTCAGTTTAAGCCTGCTTAAGGTAAAGTTTTATTCCTGTACATGTAATGTAAGTGTACACATAAAGCTCCTGTGTTAAGAGTGAGGAGGTTGAGCCCCTTTAGTTTACCCAGGCCACATCATATGTAGTTTTTGTTTAATATTTACCCTGTGAATCTCTATCTGCGTTCAAACCAAAGTTTGTTTTAGCCTAAAGCTTCAAATATAACGTTAGCCCAACGCAAATTTATTGGAAACCCACGTAAAATGACTGTAATGTTGATTACCCTAAACTTTGCTAAGAAAAACCTCAAGGGTCGGCGCTGAATGCAACTGGCTTAAAACTGCTGACGAGAAACTGTGGCTCTGTGGCTCTGCAGCCAGATATTGTTGACTATTACATCTCATTTCGCAACACACACATCAGGCAAACACCACTCTACGTCTCCTCTTTATCCGGCCCAAGTTTTTAGACCAAACAATAAAATACAGATTCTAGCTTTAATAGATGGAAATGAGGATGGACTAAGTGCACTTGGGGATTGGACTGAGAATCTTTGGGTTAAATTATGCAGATTCTTCAAGGGTTCTTTATCTAATTGAACTATGAACACTCACAGAACCATTTGCAAAGTGCTTTGCATGGTGAAACGGTTTTTCAGATTGATGGAGATTAATGTTGTTTATGGTTCTATATAGCACCAAAAAGGGTTCTGCTATTGTTATGAAGTCAGGTTTATATGGTGCTACATAGAACCACTTTCAAAAAGGTTCTATATGGAGCCATAGACAACACATACTCTATCAATCTGAAGAACATTTTCAACATGCAAAGAATCATTTAAGTGTGCAGATGGTGGTTTGGGTGTTCATGGTTCTTTGTATAGTGACACTGACGACTATGCATCCAAGCTGGATGACTTTGCCTAATTCCTTGCATTTTCCCAATAGTTGTTGTTTCGGAATTTGTTTACATTGAAGTCAGATGACCCTTCGATGACATTGATTTTATGTTCAGTATGGGAAACTGTACTAAACTAGAAAGCTTCAGTGGTGTGATCAGAGTATTTCGGCATAGACAAGTTGACCTACGGTTGATCTCCGGCGTGCTCAATCTCACTTCATCCTTGTAATACCATGCTCTGGTCTTAACCTTCATCCTTTCTGAGATAGATGAGTGTTTCTGTTACAATCTGATGGATTATTGGATCTGTTGGAGCGATGAAAGAAAGGAAAAGGAAGGAAAAGGTAAAAGTAGGATGAATCACGAGCAGGTGGCGTGTTTGTGCACATGGCTGGTGTTCTCATACTGATGCTGATAGACATTACAGTGGTACAGACAGGCAGGTTTTTTCTGAGGCAGGCTCTGCTGTCAATCTGTCACTTCTTAATCCCTGTCATAGTCACATTGGGCCTTTAATCCTAATCGCATGATCAGGCCTCATCATGATCACCTCTGATTCAGTAAAAAATGAATACATTTTATAAGCTCATTCGAATTGTCTTCAGATGAATTGTCTTCTGAATTGTCTGCATGCCTCATAAATAAAGCAGTAATTCATGAAAGGTAAAAATTGTATTGCTTACAATTGAGTGACTTGTCGCTTTTATAAAACTGGAACAAAAAAAAACAATAAACAAATTATTATTAGTAATTATTCTTTCAAGGGAGGCAAGTTCATTAGAATGTACATAATACACTCATTAAGATGCAAATAAAGTAATTCAGAGTGGTTTGATGTGAAGTACTGGGCCCTGACACGTCTCAGACTATTTGTTCTATCCCTCTCTGTTTCGTCAGATTGACTGAACCATCAGGATCACTCACAGATGGCCCCGTGAACTACAAGTACAAGACCAAATGCACATGGCTCATCGAGGGGTTGTGAGTATAGCTTAATTCTTCCATTATATCTAAATGTACACCCCGCCTGCTGGGGAGCATTGTGTAGCAGGCATTGGATTCACCAAATCCCTAATTATGTTTTCTCTGTGCCTCAGTCCAGATGCTGTCCTCAGGTTGAGATTTAATCATTTTGCTACAGAGTGTGGTTGGGACCACATGTACGTCTTTGATGGAGACTCCATCTATGCACCTTTGGTAGCTGTATTCAGGTGAGTGGAGTGCGTATCCAGGGGCCAGTAAGAGAGCACCAATAATCCATTAAAATAGAGATGGCACAGTAACACTTTGTCTTCAATGTCTGATAATGATAATGTCTAAATTGTCTGATAATGAAGTGAAGAATAGTACAAACTACAGATAGCTGGATAGCACCTTTTTTGCTTTCAATACCAAAATCAAAACCTTGAACATTGGCCGATACAGATATCGATACCAATCTGATATACTTACTTTAAAAACTAGACTGTCTTCAGTTTAAGTGCTTCACTTAAGGTGAGTGTTTAAAAACAGGCTATCATACTTGAACTACTTAAACACTCTACTACCACCCAGAAAGAAATCCACAGCACAAGTGTGCTATTTTGATTTGTTAAACGTTCCAGCATTTTCTGTTGTCATCAGCCAAATACAGATACAATACCGTAACCAGAAACCAGAAAAAATATACCTGCTTGTGTTTTTGATCCGAAACTTGTTAGCTAACTTTGGTTTGGCAGTTCCTGCTGTGGATTTAATAAATCATGCTTTTTACAATCTATGAATTGCTTCCTTTTAAAATAACAAAAATGGCCAAAGGTTATATGGTTGATACTGGACATGAACTACACATGATTATGAAACAATTTATTTACTTTTGTGCATTTTAAAGCACTGTCAGGATGTTATTTGACATTTAACATGTTCCAATTGACCTCACCGTCATAACAGATGTTCACCTGTGTGTTTTGTTCTGCTGTGTCTGCAGTGGCTTGGTCGTTCCTGAAACAAAAGAGAATGAAAGCATCCCAGAGGTGGTGACCACATCTGGTTTTGCCTTGTTGCATTTTTTCAGTGACGCAGCTTACAACCTCACAGGATTTGACATCATCTATTTGTGAGTCTTTGCACACACCTGCAACTGTTTTTCCACACTTAGGCCACTGCGTCCAGTCCGGTGCTTTTTAACCATGTGTCTTAATTCATATACTTATATACTTAATATACATAACATACTTAGGCTTATTATTATTACTTACATGCAAAGCTGGCTGAGCTATTCTTAGGTTATAGAAGTGTGTAATAAAATTTTGGGCCTGCAGGTGGGCCCTGGCCATTTAAAGGGTTAATTGGGCTTTATAAAGACATGTATGTGGCTAGAAAGCCTGGCACAAGCCACAGTTAAGCCTCAAGCAGACTGTAGAGATAACTGTTAGCAGCCTGTGGAACTCAGGGGAAAGAGAGATGATTGATCTGTATTGTTTTCTACATTTCCTTTTGCTTGGCAACAAAATATGTCTGTGGCATTTGAATGAAAATACCTGTAATCCTTTAGAATGAGTAAGCATTGTTAAAGGAATGTTACTCTGGCATTTTTAAACCTAATTCTATCTCCTGTATCTCTAACATATGTTTGATTACCACAATTCTCCTGTACAGAAAACCTTTTGGCTTGCAATACACTTATAACAGAAGCCATTAGATGCTTCAGCACTTACAAACCTAAGTGTGAGTTGTTTATTATTTTTAGTCAGCGAGAATGTAGATGGTCGTTATTAGTACAGGAAACGCATCAGAATTATTGTCTTTGATCTTCATGTGCTGCAGATGCGGCAGGTAGAGATTACATTAAAAACTCTGCAGTGTTCCTTTATTTTTGTCAGTTTGTTATTAATGCATGTTCTTAATCCTGTTTTGGTCCCATCACTTTTTTCAGAGTAAATTCCTGTCCTAATAACTGCTCAGCTCATGGAAAGTGTACTGTGGGTGACTCCATCTCTACCAATGCGAAGTGTGAATGCGATAAGTACTGGAAGGGCGAGGCCTGTGACATCCCCTACTGCTGGAACAACTGTGGTGGTCCTGACCATGGATACTGTGACCTCACTGGAGAAAAGCTCTGCATCTGCAATAACAGCTGGCAAGGTGAAGGGGCAGTGTTAGCTCAGTGCCATACAGATGCTCTTAGTGTAACAGCTTTGCAAACGCTGCTGTGGTCTACATTTTTTCTGAAAATATATAAATTTAGTAATATGTCTGCCTATCCTCAAATTCTTTTTCTCCATTGGGGTTATTCGGTATGAAAAAAGTATATATAAGTAGAAGATAGTATGTAGCTAAATGCTGAATAGTTTGTGTAGTAGTTGTGCATTTTGAACATTATGAAGCAGTGTAGGCATGCAGGTACAAGTCCTTGTTGAAATAGCTGCAAATAGTGAAAATATCACAATATTACTTAAAATTTGATTTCATGATTGTTAACCATTTGTATTAGAGAGACAAACATCCTTATTTCAGCTGTAGTTAAAATCTATAACAGTTGTGCCTGATCAGGACTCTGTGGGACTTCAGGTGTCGAGTTTATTTGTCATTTGCACAACATGTCAGGACATTTGTGCATTGAAATGCTTGTGGTGAGGCACAGATAATCACTCTACAGCAGGGCAGCATTATATACATACTAAAAACAGTGCAGTCAAAATGATACAAAAATAAAAATACGAAAAGTAAATAATGAAATAACTTAAATAACTGAACTGAAATAAATTAAATATTCACAAAATATGCAAAAAATATAGACACAGGAGGGACCTATGTAAGAATAACTCTGCTGTGTACAAATATGTTAAACAATGGATAATCTGAGAAGAATATATATATATATTTTAAAGTGACAGTGATATTATTCGTAGCAGTGATATGATGTAATAAATAATACTAACAAAGTGACCGAGTGAAATGGTAATGGGGGCCTAAAAGCCTGTGGGTAGAAACTGTTCATTAGCCAGGTTAAGACCGTCTTGAGCTTTGATTGGATGTTCAGAAGAGTTTGATGATAATATTGAATGATCCTAAATGCGGTATGTGTAAAAACACAAAGAAATAGCACAATAAAACACAAAAACCTGGAGCTCTCACCAGTGCGGCCGTTCTACGGTGCATCGAAATAGGAAATTACATGGTGATAGAAGTTGGGCTTTGAATCTGAGATGTTGGATTACAGAGATAAAGTTATGTTCAACCAGAGGTTGCTAGTGTAATTAGCTAACAGGCAGTAAGCTAACCAACACGTTATACAAACATTGTTAGCCTTTGCTAAATCTTGTGGGCAGGTGGTCATCATAGATCACAAGTCATTCAGTTCACAGTGCAAACATTCACTCATAATGCAGTTGTTAACCACACTAGAATTGCTGTTCGCTGCTTCTGTTTTGCCTGGACACGTACACTTTCTGTGGAATTCCTGTTACTATTTTAGGTAATTTAGGTCAAAAGGAGGCTGTGCATTGGCCGGGAATCGAACCCGGGCCTCCCGCGTGGCAGGCGAGAATTCTACCACTGAACCACCAATGCTGAGCTGGGAGGTCATGTGACCCCATCCAGCTGAGGGTCACTAGCTCCTGTTGCAGAAACTGCTCTTGCTCTCTGTGGTTTTACAGGGCACACATAAATATCCATAGTGATTGTCTGGTGTGTTTCTGGAAGCCTGATAGTCTGAAGATCACAAATCATTCAAACAGTGTAAACATCCAGAGACTTCGTAAGAAAAAGGTGGGGGAGGGGGTAATGAAGTAAAATAAAAATGGAAATTGTAAAGCCAAAAAATGTTCAAAATAATAGCTAACTAGCTCACTCACTAGTAGTTGCTTAGGCTTCCTTCAGCACAGTCCTGCCCAGCTTATATCCAAAGGAAATACAAACCTGCAAGTTTTATATTGAATCAACCTTATTTTGAAACAGCTTTGATAAAGCTGTTCATGCTACAGAGTAACTTGGCATAATCAGTTGATCTGTATGTAAATGTATTATTTAATACTAAATAGACTGACACTCCAAAGAAAGGGATGGTGAATCAGTTAATGGGACTTGAATGGTGAATTGTTCGACGTGACTCTCAGCCTGTCTCTAAACTCAAAGAGCTGATATGAAACAATCACAATTAGGGTGAGCAATAAGAAGTTACAGGTAGATCTAAGACTGGATTGTAATGACTTTGTAACTGATTGATCTTTGGTAGGATTGATATGAGCATAAAAAGTTAGAACTTCATTCCTAATGGAGAGAGCAGTTACTTTACCACTAGATGGCAGTGTTGTAATTGGTTTTAAATCAGTTCAAACGAACAGTTGTGTAGTAGGCTTAGTACTCAATGTTGACTGAGTTGATTTTGCAATGTTTTGAAATTTATCATTATCATCAAGTATGCTAACAGAATGAACCAGTTGAATAGTATGAAGAAAATGATACTGTAACATATGGTTTTACCTAGTAATACATGAATTCACTTTGCTTGTGTGTTTCTTTTTATAATTTCTAAGGCCCAGACTGCTCACTGCCAGACCTTTCTGATGAACCCTACTGGTATCTGCCTAACATGAAGCCTGATATACAGCCTCTGGGACGAGCATCTCATAAGGCAGTGGTGCATGGAAAACTGATGTGGGTGATCGGAGGATACAGCTTCAACTACAGCTCTTCTCTGATGGTCTTAAAGTAAGGGCTGACATCTGTGCTCTCTCTGTCTGTCTTTCAGTGCCATGTGTGTACTTGGCCTTACATAATTATTTTTGGATCTTGAACTGGGTTCAATCCTACAGTCGATTTGTGGAATTTATGCCAAAATTGAATGTGTGCTTTCTTTTTTTTCGGTAAATAAAGCTATCCTTAATCTTGAGTGAAACTAATAAAAATAGTTTGAGTTCAGTATTTACTTTTTGTAACATGCATTATTTCTTGATAAGTTTTAGGAAAGTTGTAGTGTTTTATAGCTTTCTTGAAATATCCTTGTCTTTTCAGATTAAGTGAAATTTGCATTGTGCTTCAGAGGTTCTGTAAATAAAAATAAAGTGTATTATCTTTGAGAGTACACATCATAAGACTTCATAAAACCAGTAAATCAGGCAGGGATTTAAGCTGTGCCTAACCATGTGTGACTGCATGTTTTCATGTTTTGTGTATTATCTGTACTTGATGCAGTAAACATTGCGTGTTTTTTGAGTTTGCTCTGTCTCTTACTTTTTCTCTTGCTGTCTGTATTTTCTTATAATTTTTTTAAAGTTACAATCTGGAGACCAGTGTATGGGGTGTGGTTCCAAGCAGCAGTGGTCCAGTGCAACGATATGGACACTCTCTGGCTCTGTATCAGGTACTCAGACTATTAACACTCGTCATCATGTCAGTTCTGTTATTATTGGCTGTTCCTGAGTATCAAGTTTTCCACTCATAATGCAGCTGTTAGCTGCTCCTATTTTGCCTGGACATTTTCTGTGGTATTTCTTTTGATAGCTCATGTAATTTAGGCCAAAAAGCGGCTGTGCATTGGCCGGGAATCGAACCCGGGCCTCCCGCGTGGCAGGCGAGAATTCTACCACTGAACCACCAATGCTGAGCTGATAGACCATGTGACCCCATCCAGCTGTGACTGGAGGGTTCACCAGCTCCTGTTGCTCTCACAGAAGATGCTCTTGCTGTCTGTGTTTTACTGGGTGCACATAAATATTCATAGTAATCGTCTGAAGTATTTCTGGAAGACCGATAATCTGAAGATCAGGGAATTTGCATACATGTTTGAAATCTGTAGTCTGCTCAGTGCACCCATATATTAAGGGCCGTGGGCAGTTTAACAGTAAACAGACAGTATTTCTATGCTATAAAGCTTCCAACATTGGTTATATTTGTAATTGAGTCTTCCACCGATTACTTTGCTGCGTACTATATAAATAATAAATTAATCCTAACACACCAATCATGACCTTTCAGCACTTCCAAAATCATTTGCTGTAAAATATCCTAGAATGCATTTCAAAAGATTTCTTTAGAAAAAAATATATAAAAACACTCTGTGACAAGAAAAGCATAGAAATGAGTGTGTCCATCTGTTTCATACTGTAAGAGAGGCCAGTATGCAAAATATGCATCATCATTATGAAAACTGCCAACAATTTCTTATAGATTTATGAAGAGTAGAAGTCTGTGATATTGCTAATATGTCATTTTTGGACCACATAGGTAGTTGAGAGTTGTGCCTACAGAATATCTGTTAAACGTTGGTAGAACTGCAGAATTAGCTCTTTATTTAGCATCTGTTGAGTGGGGGTAGGCGTGGGGGGAGGAGGTTCTTCAGGTCTCTGCATTGCAGAATCCATTCTAGATAATAGAATTGTCCGTAACCGTCCGTTGTTGATGGTAAGGATGCTTTAGTACCATTTTTCTCAGGCCGAGTACATCATACATGTATTACACATTGTATTAAAGAATGTGCGTTTCTTAAAAGTAGTGCTGTGCATTGGCCGGGAATCGAACCCGGGCCTCCCGCGTGGCAGGCGAGAATTCTACCACTGAACCACCAATGCTGAGCTGGCAGGTCATGTGACCCCATCCAGCTGTGACTGTAAGGTCTACAGAGCTGACAGCGCTTTCTGTAGATCTGTCTCAGTAGACAGGTCATGTGACCTCCACCAGTGGTGAGTTCCTAGCAGGCAGAACCTGTTGCCACATGACCAGAAGAAAGTGGGGCTTCTACTTCAACTTAATCAACTATTTCAGCTTGAGATTTCACTCCTTCACCTGGAGTTATACAGACATAATTTTCTTGTTAGCACATTTCTTTCTTCTCTCATGCTTGGGTTATTTCTCGCTTAATGCTGTCTCAGATGATGTCTGCATTTAACTTTTCATCTCCTTTTTAATTTTTTGTCTGACACCCTGTAAAAACACATCTGCTCATCTTTTAAGTGAAGTTTACTACTTGCTAAAATGTTTTTTGTTTGAGTTACTTATTCTAAATCAGTTTTCATGTCATTGACACTTTCTGCAAACATGAAATAACATAATAACGACATAATTTTCTTGTTAACCCATTTCTTCCTCCTCTTGTGCTTCGGTGGTATGAGGTAATTTAGAACACGGTGAGTATAAACACAACTAGGAACAGCAGCTGATTTACAGTCAGAAGTGTGCAGTGAGAGCGTCAATACGATAGCAGGTTATGATATATTACACAGTTTGTTCTAACAAGAGAGGTGATATACAGACAGTTTTTACATTTGGTAAGTGTGAGGCTTATATGATGTGCAAAATAGAGTTTTTACATCTGAAAGCTGCCACTATGATCTACATTTGCAGTTGAGTTATCCACTTAGTTCAATGATTTATTAAGTAATAGTTGGACAAATAAAAAGGTCTTAATCATAACAAACCAACCGCAGCCTCTTTAAGTTTTTAAAATACTTTATTGAAAGAAAATACACTAGATGATAGAGAGATGTCCCACCGCTTGTCCTCTGGTTGTCTGTATCATGGTATTAGTTAAGTGAATGAAGGTTATGGTAGGCTGTCTGGCTTACACAAGTACAACTTCTACAACATAGAGAATCTCTTAAAAGTAGAGCTGTGCATTGGCCGGGAATCGAACCCGGGCCTCCCGCGTGGCAGGCGAGAATTCTACCACTGAACCACCAATGCTGAGCTGGCAGGTCATGTGACCCCATCCAGCTGTGACTGTGACTAGTCTGCAGAGCTGAGAGCCTGTTGCTTTAAGTAGCTCTTTCTCAGTAGACAGGTCATGTGACGTCCTCTAGTGGTGAGTTCCTAGCAGGCAGAACTTGTTGCCACATGACCAGAAGAAAGTGAGGCCTCTACTTCATTTTGATCAACAATTTCTGCTTGAGATTTCACTCCTTCACCTTGAGTTATACAGACATAATTTTCTTGTTAACACATTTCTTCCTTGTGTTTGGGTTTTTTCTCACCTTGTCAGCTCACTCTTTTTTTGTTACTAGTTAAGAAACACATATGATTAGAGAGCTATGTTTATGAGAGGGATATGGCTTCCTCAAAGGAGTGTCTCAGTACTCTTTCAGGCTCAGTCACTTTTCAGGTGTTTATTTGCGTTGACTTCGGAAAGTTTACATGAAAATCCATTTATTTAGATAGATGATAGATAGATAGATAGAACTGTATTGATCCCAAAGGGAGATTGCAGTGTTACAGTAGCAAGACATGTAATTGCACATAAACATGCATATATTAGGCAGAAATAAAAATAGACACACATTAGGCAGAAATAAAAAATTCAACAGAAGTTGAAGTATGAGAGAGTATAAATAGAAGTATATCTGTTTGCATATTTACATAGCTTTTAAGATAGATCTGTTGCATTTACATGAGAGCAGGTATTGCAGGTATAAGTGGTATGAGGTATTTTACAACACAATGGGTATAAACATAACTAGGAGTAGCAGCAGCATTTACAGTCTAAAGTGCGCAATGAGAGCATCAGTATGATAGCAGGTTATGATATATTGCACAGGGTGTATTGACAAGATAGGTGATATGGTGATGTGATTCAGCACAGTTCAGGCAGCAGGAAGTCATCTCTGCAGTAAGGAGACTCATTGTAGAGCCTTATAGCAGTGGGTAAGAAAGATCTTACATGCCACTTTTTTACACAGTGCAGCTGTAACATTCGGCCACTGAATGTGCTTCTCTGTTTGCATGCAGGGGGTGTGAGGTGTTGTCCAAGGTGGCTAACAGCTTGTTGAGAGTCCTCTGTTCTGACATAACCTCCAAAGAGTCCAGCTTGGCTCCGACACCAGAGCAAGCCTTCCTAATAAGTTTGTTTAATTTGTTCAGAGCACTTATGTTAAGGCTGCTGCCCCAACACACAACAGCAGAGAATATATGACTCACTACAACAGACTGGTAGAATGTCCATAGGAGCTTAGTGCACACACCAAAAGACCTCAGCCTCCTCAGGACGTAGAGACGGCTGTGGCCTCTCTCGTACACAGCGAGAGTGTTACAGCTCCAGTCCAGTTTATTATACAATTGCACACCCAGATACTTGTACATCCCCACCACCTCCACATCTACTCCATCTATGGTGACTGGTGACAAGGCAGGTTTGGACTTCCTAAAGTCCAGCACCATCTCCTTAGTCTTACTGATGTTTAGCTGCAGCTGGTTCAGCTTACGCCACCCAACAAAGTCCTTCACCAGCTTCCTGTATTCCTCCTCCTGTTTATTCCTCATGCAGCCCATAATGGCCATGCTCACATTTAAGTGGCTTTCTACTTGCTATAATGTTTTCTTCTATATCATGATGTGACTTCTTACAGAGAACCTTGTTCTGTGCCAGTTTTCATGTCATTGAACGTTGGTAGAACTGCAAAATTCGCTTTTTGTTTTGCATCTGTTGAGTGGGGGTAAAAGTGGGGGTGAAGGAGGTTCTTCAGGTCTCTGCATTGCAGAATCCATTCTAGATGCTAGAACTGTCCGTAATCGTCCGTTGTTGATGGCAAGGATGCTTTAGTACCATTTTTTTTCAGACAGAGTACGAGTACCTATTTTTAGTACTTGCTGATACCGTGTCCATTACCATAGTGGACAAGCTACGTAGATTAAGTAGTTGTTAGTGTAAATGAGTGTAATCCACCTAAACAGTTAAATCATTAAACTCTAGCTGATTTCAAGTGAAGTGCAGTGTTTAAAGTGACCAGCGACTTTGTATCAATTGAGTCAGTAATACTTCTCAGTGTAAGTAGACCCTTGTTCACCATCAGCTTCTTTCGTTTTCTCATTATTGGGGCAGTGTACACTCAGCTTACCTGATACCAGTATTGGTATCGATCCGATAACTGACTTGGGGCAGTACGGCTTTTCTCATTTCTTTTACGCACTCATCAAGTTTGAAAGACAACAGCTATTTAAGGCAAATATTACCCTTACATGCAGTGCTGTTTGGTTTGATTACTTTGTAGCGTAACCTTTATATTTCTGCAGTTAAAGCGTGCAACAAACATTGATTTGGAGATTTCCGGACAGATTTTTTCAAAGGACTTTATCTGTATCCAACCACTTGTACTCATTTAAATTCCTGTGGGCATTGTATGTTATGGTGTTGGTAGATTAAGTACAAGTGGCACCTGTTACTTCTAGTAGTCATTTCACTTTGATTCAGTCTTGTTTATATTTCTCACATTCCAGATGTCTGTTTGTTGAGCAGAGGTCTATTTTCATAACCGCTTGGTGTGATTTCTGTCAAAAAGGAGCTGTGCATTGGCCGGGAATCGAACCCGGGCCTCCCGCGTGGCAGGCGAGAATTCTACCACTGAACCACCAATGCTGAGCTGGGAGGTCATGTGA